TCTTTGAGGTGAGGAACAAGACACCATATGGGGTCCTTGAAAACAGAGTTGCCTGTCAGGAGTGGCTGCCTTGCAGAACATATTTTTCAGCTTTGAGGGTGGCCTGCTTAGCCAAGCCTGACTATTTCACCATACTGTGGAGGCTGCCCTGGTATTAATTCACCTCAAAGAGCAGGTTGAAGTCATTAAAATATTTTGCAGGTGGTTCCTTGAATTCATGGTACAGCTGGATCCAGCCTAAGGGGAGCGGGGGGAAAGAAAAGAAGAGGCAAGTTCTGATGAAACACAAATTAACATAACTCATAGAAGGGAAAGAAAATCTGGTTTCAATCTCTACAACAAAGCCAAGCAACACATCAAGATAGAAAGGAGAAATGTCAGCCAGGCAGCGCCAGGGATTTTATTGCTTTAGCACAAGTGCTTCTCCTTGGTCCCAGGAGTGCCCAGGTGCTACTGCAGCAGCCAGACCCCTGAGTGCGGCTCCGGGCATGCAGGGACGTGGGGGGCTTCACAACAAGGCCCCTAATCCCACATGGGTCCAGGCTCAAGCTTTGTTTTAATGCCCTGACACAAATCACAGTTGTTTAGATCTTGCGTGTTGGCCTCAGTCTCTCTTCTGCATGGAAACTCTCCAGGTACCACATCATTTTTTGCCCTTAGAGCTGGATCCGCTTTTTTTTAGGGGTGCTGACCATGGCTGAGCCGCACAGTCAGTGGGACACTCACAAGGGAGACCCCAGACCTGGCACCTCCATGAGCCGGTGAGCAGATTACTCACAATCTGCTTCAGCATCCCCTGAATTCAGCAGTGCCTCCCGATATCCATGGGCATCAAAGTCTTCATCCTTCCTTGGGAAGAACAAGGCATTTTAGCATAAACACTGTCATACTGGAGAGCTGTACTGGGTCTGATTGGGATGGAGGTAACGTTCTCCACAGCAGCCCTTATGGTGTTGTGCTTTGGATTTGTGGCTAAAGCAGTGTTGCTTACACACCGATGTTTTGGCTATTGGTGAGCAGTGCCTGCAGAGCATCAAGGCTGTGAGTAGGCTGGGGGTGGGCAAGAGGTTTGGAAGGGGACACAGCCAGGGCAGCAGACCGTGGGGATATTCCACACCATATGATGTCAAGAGAAGCAATAAAAGTTCAGGGAAAGAAGGAGGAAGGGGATATGTTTGTGGTTAGGGCATTTGTCAGCCCAAACAACCATCACATGTGCTGAGGCCCTGCTTCCCAGGAAGTGACTGCCTATCTGCCGGCCGATGGGAAGTAGAGAATGAATTCCTCTTTCTGCTTTGCTTGCAAGTGCAGCTTTTGCTTTCCCTATTAAATTGTGTTATATTGACCCGTGAGTCTTCTCACCTTCCTTCTGTTTTCTTCCCACCCTTTGGGAGAGGGAACTGAGTGAGCAGCTGGGTGGGTGTTTGCCTGATGGCCGGGGTCAATCCACCACAAGAACTGACTGGTATGTCAAAATTCACCAACCTTGTTCATTCCAAAAAGAAAAAAGACTGAAAAATCAGGCAAAATAGGAAAAAAAAACCCAACCCAAGCTAGTTTATAAACAAACTTACCACTGCAGAGGAAATTGTACAGCTCTGATTGCTGATGGCTTTGCAGTATGCATCTATGGGCTGTGTCCCAAGTCAAACCACGGCTACTTGTTTCTGTGGGAGAGCAGTGTGGTCTGTGGGCAGGATTACTTTTTGGGGTTTTTGAAGCCCATCTACAGAAACATGAGTGCAGGTGTTGGGATAAGGGGTAGACTGTCATCTCTTCTGGTTGCCACTCTCACTTCAGTCTACAGGCGATGGCAGAAAGGGTGGAGGTTGCTGCCCTGGCTTACCCAACATGAGGCCCGTTTGTGCCATAACCTCTTCTCTTCCTTGTCTTTGGAGGGGCACCAAAGCCCCCTGAATTGTGCCCATTTGTGCCTAAGACAGTCTGCAATCAAATAGATGGATTTGGAAAAATTACCGTATTGTAGATAAATGGAGAAACACCTCTGAGCTAGGATATCTTCTCATTTGGGGAAAAAAAAAACTTTAAAAAATCACAAATTCAGTTCTTTCAGGATAAATGTTTGTCCTGAGGAGGCTGACATCTGTCCAAGCTCCCTGGCAGTATCACTGCTGGGAACCACTGTGTTTAGCAAATGCCAGGTTGGAGTTTGGCGTTACATCTCTTCACTCTGCCATGAGCTTTTGGTGGTGGCAAATGCCTGCAGCTGACAACAGTGGTGAAAGGAGACAAGAAAGGTATCAAGGATAGCCAGGGACCAAAAACTTCCCTTATCCTCCCTCATCAGTTACCCACAGGCCCGTGACTTTGAGGCGGCTGCAGTCTGTTTATAAAACTTGGTTCCGATGTGATGCACCTTTGCAATGAGAGCGTGAGGAGCACCTTCTGCCTGGCACAAGCCACTGCTGTCAGACGGTAGGAAGGGAGGGGATGAACCGGAGGACTTCAGGCTCTTCCCTAAGATGTCAGCAGAGCATTTCAGGGGAGGCAGGACGAGCAGCAGGAGGGAGAGGGGCCAGGGCTTCCTAGCAGAGAGCCTGGAGGGTGAGGCTGATGGCCCAGTAGACGTGCCCCATAATGTGCTGGAAACTGCTATTCTATTAATAATCCCATTGTTTCAGCAAACCCTCAACCAAGGGAGACTGCACTGAATCAGCAGTTTCTTTTCTTTTTTTCTTTCCTGATTTAGTCACCCTGATTGCACAATCAGGGTCAATCTATTGCTGCAGTCAGTGATGGTGCAGCAAGAAATGAAAGACAGCAGAAAGCAGGGTGGGGGCAGTGTCAGCGAGTGCACGCGAAGGCTGAGCAAGCATGTTGGTACGTGATCTCTGACGTCTGTGGCATGGCCGAGACCCCCTGCGCCACGTGCACAGGGAAATCTGCAGCTTGTTTGCAGAGGCTGACATCCAGATGGAAACACACCGCGACGCTCCCAGGCAGCCAGATGCTCACCTGAAGGGAATGTAGCAGCACGCAGAGCTGCCACAGGGCTACATCAACTAGAAATAAGGAGAGAATTAAGTTTCACCAGCTGGGTAGGCAACCACGGCTGGTTGGCAAAGTCGGGTGGGATCGTGGCTTTGCTGTTGACCTTCCCAAAATAGCTAAGCGGAGAATTGGACTTTGAACCCTGGAGCAGTGCAGATCAGGACTGTCAAAATCAAGGGTCTCTACCCCTGCTTTTGCACCCATGCCACCTGGGCCATTGAGAATGGCATGACCACAGTATGACCATAAGGGGTGGGAAAACATACCCCTGAGCTTCTTTCTTGGGAAGGAGGGCCCAAAGATCTCGTTGCACCTTTTGCCTTTTAGAAGGGCTTTTTGAAACTACAGCTGCCAGCTTCTTTTTAATACTTTTGAAATAAAATGTATTTGCCTAGATGTGTTGTTAAAAGCCTTTCTGCTGTAAGTCCGCTCTCTGTATGCATCTGAATCACATCCATCCCTATAAACATCCACCTGGCAACACAAGTGCAGTGATGCCCAGCTCGTGACCTGGCTCAGCAAGAGTAGATGGCTTCAGGCTTGCGCAGAGTGGTCAGCTGAACCACCCAAACCATTAGAAATGGGCTGGATACGAGCCCTTATCCCAGTGGGGAGGTGATGCCATGAAGGGAGAGGATGCACAGGTAGTTACTATGGCTTAGCTGATCGGTGGTAACCTCTCGAGCCACCCTAATTCAAGGGGGTATCTGAGCCCTTCACAACGAAGCAGATGATTATTCCAATTCCTATGCAGTGTGTAGCAGAATATATGATAACAGAGGACTCCTATTCCTCCCTACCGATGCCAAACCAGGTCACAGCTACACAAGCATGTTTGAAAGGAGAACACAGAAGTGGATTTAAAAATCCCCACATATTTTTGGTTTAAGCCTTTTAGAGAGATATACAACTCTCTAAAGGACAGAGGACTTCATTCTGCACTGCACTGTCAGGGTGTGGATATCCAGTTCACATCTACCTGAAGCTTACGTTGCACTTTCTTCCATGGCCATGCAAAGCGGTGAGGACCCAGCAGCCCCACAGATGAGCACAGACCCACAGCCCAGGAGAAGACCGTGTAATGAGGACTGCCCTGCACCTCGGAGAGGGCAGCACGTGGCGGCAGCAGCGTGGGTGCGGAGGGCTCTGCCCGGCGCCTACCAACGCCTCTCACCTGCAGGCTTGGGTGAGTCACTTCGTTTTGCAAAATCAAAATCAACTCCAGCACAAATGGAGATGACAAAACACCAAATGCCACGGTGATGTCTGCAGGGGTGGGTTTTACAGAACGTGAGCAAAGAAGTGGTGAGGTGGTAGGAATTGTGTCCGCGGGTGTGGAAAATGGGTCAGGGAGAAAGCAGGGGCTGGAGACGCTCCCGGCAAGGAGGCTGCAAGTGTCTCTTCTCCCTTACATCCCAAACCCATTTGGGCTTCAGCATCCCCCACCCCACCATCATTTGCTCGTCTTTACAACTCCTCCTGATTCTTTTCTTCCTTGCACTTCAGTCACGCACCATCACTAAGTCATCATCTTGGTGCAGGTTAATGTGTTTTTCACTACCACGCAGTGTTTCACCTCCCCTCCCAGGGGATGAATCTTCAAGCTAACATTGAACCTGGGATCTTCTTGGCTATGTGAGGAGGTTTACTTGTGTTAGGAGCAAAATGGCCACCTCATGCCCAACCCATCAGCAAGTGCAGAGATGTTGAATAACTCAGGGTTGAACCTCTTGCAGGATCCTGCCCAAGGCTCCGTGGACACGGTGTCCCCACATGAGCACATAAGAGCAGCTGAACATCTTAGCCGTGGGATTTTTTGAGGAACTGTTCAAATTACCACATCAGAGTTCTCACAACTCTATAAAAACTGAGCAGATAGGAAAAGCATATCAGAAAGTATATCAAATCAGGAGGAAGATAGGAAGTCCCTTCAGTTCTTTATTGTCCATAATCTGACAAGGCTTTAAGTTAGCCACAAGAAATTTGTCATGAAAACTACAGGCAGATACGGGGAAGATGAAAATTTGAGTGATATGAACACTTTCAGTATTTCAGACAAGATTGGGTTTGCTTCAGCTGCTACCACAACCTTTCAAATAAGTGGTAAGGTTTCTTTTTATTAAATGGATTGATATGGATTTTATCTGGTCTATAAAGAAAGCAGAGCATAAAAATGAAATATTGTATTTATACTGCATATTAAATGCTTTTTACAGTGATTTTTCTAATAAATTAACTGACCATTTAAAAAAAGAAGTATATGAAAGTGTCCTTTCTAGCCAAAAGCTGATGCTGAGCATCAGAAAAAAACAGTTCTTTTCCTGTTTTAGAAAATGCCTAATTTCACTGAGTAAAACTTTCATGTCTTAATAGTTAAGATACTGAAATCACCAGATCCAATAAAAAAAGTAAGTTTATGAATTTTTAGCTGAATATAAATACTTCATTGCTGACTAAACCATTATATTGTAAAACTAATTAAATCACTGTACTCTTTTAAAACTAAGACTTTAAATTCCTGATTACATTACTTTGAAAAAAACTCAATTAAGGGTAACTTACTGAATGTCTGAAGTAGTTATTAATGCTTCTGAAATACTTTTTTCTCCCTAAAGGCCAAAATTTGACAAAGCAGTTTATTTCTTTCTTCTTGCTGGTGACAATTTGTTTTAAATGTTACGACTTGTTTTCATTTGTTCTGCAGTTCAGTTTATTATTGATTTTTCATTTGTTTCAATGTGTACACGTATCACTGTTGGAATCACATGTATGCGGCACTCTGGATGGAGAGGGCAAGTGCTTTGAGCAACCCTCTTTTTGAGTGGCAGCCCGGGACAACTAAAAGCGATGGAAATGGAGTTGATGATTGATGCAGAAAGGGGAGAACTACCACATTCATACTGTTATAGGATGGATTAAGTCTTGATGGAAGTGAGCTGGTTAAATTGGCTAAGGAAAAGACTGTCGTGTGTGAATTGCAGTGCGAAGCCCGGGTGAGAAGAAGAGAGCCTGCCTTGCTTGCAGGACCTGGCAGTCTCGCAGAGGGACCTTGCTGCTCCCTGTCACTGGAAAGCACTGCTAATTTATTGTGGCCAAGCCTGAAATGGCTGGAAGCGAGCAGAGTTTGTAGCAGGAGACATGTGAGAGGATGTCTACCCTACTTCTGTTGGTTTTTAGAGCCTCGAAGCCAAAGCAAGCCATCCACGTGCTGTGCTCGGGTGGCCTTCGGCATCTACCTGCTGCTGCTGACGGCGGGCCAGGGGCTGCTGGCGTACAAAGGTAACGCTGCAACCTTACTGTGGGCTTGACATCAGAAGACAGCTTTGCTGGGTGCTCTCGGGGGGCATGGGCGAGCAGGGATGAGCACACAGATTAGAAACTTCTGAGGGAGCACAGGCGGTCCTCCACCCACTGCAAGTCAAAGCAGCCGCTGCAGGAAACCATTCCCCCACCCCCTATATGTGCTTTGCATTTGCAAAAGCACTCCAGGCTGCACTCCTGGCTGCAGCAAGAACCAGCACATGAAAACCACCTCCCCGGGTCAAACGGTGGTGGTGTTTAACCCCAGGTATCCTCAACGGGTGCCAAGGAGCTGCTCTGCTGAACAGGCATTTCCCAGACAGATCAGGCAGGGAATATTCACTGCATGGGCCTTTTGTTTCCTCAGTGTTTAAGATGCAGAGAGAGATATTGAAATTTCAAGAGAAAAATACCTCCTATACAGAAGAGATTCTGGAAAGTTCCTTTGCCAACAAACTGCTTTTGGAGACAAACTCTACAGAGAAGCACATGGGACATGAAGAAAACTGGAGGAGAATCTTAGAAGAGGAAATCACCATAATTAAAAGCAGCAATGCAAACCTGATGATGATGATGAACAACATCACCCTGGTTGCAGGTATGGCCCCATTTCTCCATGCCGACTGTACAGCGGGGAGAAATGATTCCTCCACACCACTGGCAAAGCTGGGCCAAATTATTCAGATGAACAAATAACTAAGGCAAGATTTGGTCTTCCTCTCTGTTAGTTAGCAATGCCCCAGTGCCCAGGGTTGGACGCTGGCTTTGGATGCCCTGGCTGGGGAGCTGGACACACCTGGAGAAGCTGGAGCACAGCCCTGCGCAGCGCCCCCAGATCCCACTGCAGCTGCACACGCGGCTCTGGGTTGCTTTCCCCTACCATAACTTGTAGACTTGGGCTCTGGGTGCCCTCCGAAAGGGTGGTGTCTTCAGCCCAGACCTCAAGCCTATCAACCCCGTACTGGTATGTCCCTCACTGAGTGCTGACTACTGAAAAATATCCATTAAATATTTATTTCAGGGCCTCCTGGACGCAAAGGAGATCCTGGTCCACCAGGTATGTTGGTAAATGAGCTGTAAACAACCTTTCCTCTTTTCCTCTTTCTCTTTTTCTCCCCTAAAAGAGCTGAAGTGAGGATTTGGGATTTCAGTCTCTAGACCCAGATCCTACCTAATGTGCAGACACCCAGTGCCCTGGCCATGAGGAGACCTGCTGCACCTTTTGACTGATCCCCTGGGAGCCTCGCCTTGCCCGAGTGCTCCTGCAGAGGTCAGTGACCACCACGGAGGAGCATTTTGGCTCTGCCCCTTCACTCCTACCCCACCAGAAAAGCTCAGGGGTGATGGAGGAACTGTACCTGGTTGTTATCTGCATTAACCACCCCAAATCCCCATGTGAGACAAGAGAAGACCAGTGAGGGGGTTTATGTGCATCCCACGACCAGCAGATAGCTGAGCTTTCTGCCCCAGACATAGCAGGTCCTGCTGCCTAACTCACTCCAGGACAATTCAAGGAGACTTTCCCAGTCCCTGCTCTGCAGGGCCCCAGCTGAATGGTGCATGTAACAAACAGTGACAGATTTGGGACCTTGCCCACCCTGTTCCTGGGGAAACAACCGCACAGACTCAGGAATGAGCTGGGTGCAAGTGCTCCCCTCCACAGCCACACACAAGATGCTGCCCTGGGTACATGGGGGTTTTGGGTAGAACTACACCCGCTGCAGGAGATAAATGTCTCCAGACTGTAAGGATGCAGCAAGTTCTGATCTAATGTTGGCTCTGCTTTGAGCAGAGGTTGGACTAGGCAATGTTCAGGGAAACCAGAGTTTCTATGATCCTATGATGATGATCTAAGATGCAACCCTTGTTAGGTCAGGTCTGTATCTCATCCCTAGTTCTTGGCTACACTGATGAGCTTTTCTGAAGAAAAAAAAATTAATACATTTTTAAAAAATCATGTTTTCATATCTTCCTGGCTGCACTTACAACACTGAAACAGCACCTCCCGCCAAGCATCATTATTATACATCAGAGCCCAATAGTTCAGCACATTTTCAGGAAAGATCTCCCCAAAGGTCCCCACAAGCTGGGCTTGGCTGGAGGACAGCTGGCCCCTGCCCAGCCACGCACTCAGCCAAGCTCCACAGGCTTTGCTCAAGCGGTTGTGCTGGTCCCTGCCAGCTGAAGATTGGCCTCAGTGGTGACCGAAAGCACACGCACAAAGGATGATTAAAAAATTCATGTCTTCTTCTTAGCCATTACTGCGAATAGATGATGTGTGTCAGCTGATACATGTATTTTACATCTCAGGGCTACAGGGACCACCAGGGACAAAGGGAGACCGAGGAATCCAAGGTAAGGCTTTTCTGACACCTGAATTATTTCTGTGGATGAACATAAAGTGGCTTTATGGATGATTTTATGGGCAATCTTGTCCTCAGTCAAGGTGTAAGTCAGTAGGAATGTCATTGGAGTTGAAGGAAATAAGCCTATGTAATACTAATGTGAATAAAAGAAAAACTTAGCTGGAAAAAGTCTTATTTTAAAAGTAAATGTGCACTGGTCGTGGTGGTCCGATTCCCCACTGTCCCCAGCACCACTCTCAAGTACACAGAGAGCAGAGTTTGGCTCATGCCCGCAGCTGAGCCATGTGGCCTGCTGCTGACATTCACTAGACACGACACCCGATGAAGCATCAGAAAAGTGGTGTTGTCCTTGCAGGCTTACATGGACTGCAGGGTGCGAAGGGGAGCAAAGGAGATCCTGGTCCTGCTGGCCCAAGTGGTGAACCAGGAGTGAGAGGAGAAAAAGGAGAGATGGGGCTTGCAGGTAAGACTTCTTCACTATCTCAACATTTTTAAGATTCTCCCATGTATTCCTGTTTAAACTCATTCTACTGAAAACACCAGAAGAAGTCTTCATAGGTCAGATGTTTCATAAAAATCCAGGCAACCCTGAGCGTGGATTGCCAGTCAATGAAGGAGCTGGATGAACAGGACACTCGACCTGATCTGAAGGGATTTTGTTTCATGTCATGCTTCAGCAAAGCTCCCAAAGGAGGGCTGGGGGAAGGGGACGTGCAAAATGTTGACTCTGCACCATGGAAGTCTCTTTATAGAGTGACCTTTGTTTAGTGAAAGCCACAGGTATTTAATTATCACCCTATTCCAGATTAAAGCAGTGATGTTTGCAGTAGGATTTTCATGGTATAAAATAATACAGTATAGTTTATATGCACAAGCACATGGATGTTAGTCCTTACTTTAGTAAAACCTATTTCTGAGAACCTTATGTCCTATATAAGCCTGACTTTTATACACCTTAAGTGGAAGAGTTATGCACCGTGTTTGTCCCATGTAACATGCATTAGTGGGCATCTCCTGGATAGCCATTGTTCAGTGGTCTCACATGGGCTGCACCCAGAGAGGAAAGGCTGAAAGCAGGATAGCAAAAGAAAGCAGAAGATGTGTGTGGTGCAGACCAGGGAGGACGGTTGGACAGGTTGATTAGAGCTTCCTCATATCTTCCATCACATCCCACATGCTCGAGTGCGCTCATTAGCACAAGTTGCTCCAGAAGAGAAAAGTGAAAGTAGGAGGAGTACCGAAAGGAGAGGACTTTGGGATAATTATGGAGCAGAGAGATGGAGATGTCACTCTTTAAATGAGGCACTTTCAAGTAACTCAGCTCTTTCAGAGCATGCTGATCACTTGTTCAGAGAAGAGAAGGTTAAGAGGAGATGTGGCGGTACCCTGGAAGCACAGGAGTAGAATACGCTGTCCTCCATCTCCACTGTGGCTAGGAGAAGGGAAGGGTTCAGACTGCAATAAGGGATATCTAGCTAGAGAAGAAAACATTCTAGTGGTAGGGATGGTTTGGGAAATAGACTGGGGAGGTGTCATGGCACCACTGCAAGTCTTTAACAGGTCAGACAAACATCTGGCCAGACAGTCTGGCAGAGCCAGAGGTGGCTCAGACAGACTCTTGAGGTGCCATCCAGCCCTGACTTCCTACAGCTTTACAGGAATGCTGCTAATGGTAAACGTGGGTGTGAGGCCAAGCTCTGCTACTGGTGAAGCTAGACAGAGGTGCTCCACTGGCTGCAGAAACAACAAATTCTTTTTTTTTTTTTAATTTACACACATATGCTGTGTTGTTTGGTAGGTCTCCAAGGACAGAAAGGCGAAATGGGCAAGAAGGGAGACCCTGGGCTCCGTGGCCCCATGGGTCCTCAGGGACACCAGGGAGTCCCAGGACTGCCAGGTTTCAATGGTAAGTGCAGAGGACACAGCGCAACCCACTGTCAGCACATGTGTGCCATGGTGGAGGGCTGCCCTAGCTGAAGCATTTGGTTAGGCCTCGTTAGCACTGATGCTAGGATGTTGTTGCAGGTAGCACGGGGGAGCCTGGACGTCCTGGGCAGAAAGGAGAGGCAGGTAAGCAGTACAAAAGGTGCAGTTTTTTCTAGAGATGTGAGACCAATCTCTTTTAGATGGTGCTTCATGACAAGTAAAACCGCAGTCAGGCTAGATCCCAGCATGGGTAAGAGCAGATGATGACTAGATGAAGAAACCATGCCAACGTTGTGTAAATCCATCCCACAGCCTCGGCTGTTTCATCCAGACCGAACTCACTGTGCAGGAAAATGAGAGGGAAAGAAGGGTCCTGTACTGCGGAGGGCCATGTCCTCCTTCCTGACGTCTGTGCACACGTCTGTGACGGCAGAAATTGGCCGCTCTTTTAGAAATTCACTTGTGCCCCTCAAGGCTGACAGTCTGCAAGAACCTGGGTCCATACAGCCTTTCACTCCAGGCCATCATCACTGAACTGCTAAGATCAGCGCTGCCAGGGGAGGATTGCAATTTGGAGAGACCCAGCGCTTGTTTTGCCTTCATAGGGTCAACTCAATCGGTACAGTGCAGGGGCCGGTGATCGAGCTATCTTTCTTTTTTCTCCTTCATATGTTGTGTTGCATGTCACATGTGCTGCTTTTGCTCAACCTCAAGGTGTAACTGGACAACATGGACCTGCGGGAATTCCTGGCCCTGAAGGCAGACCTGGTCAGAAAGGGGAGAAGGGAGACCATGGGCTCAGTGGTAGTCCAGGTACTACTCAAACCTGTAACTCGCTGACCTCCTACTCTGGCCTCACTTTGTGTGATGGCATCATCCTTACTGATTTGTTTTTAATTTTAGGAATACCAGGCATTGCGGGACTTAGAGGTGAAAAGGGAGACAGAGGAGTTACAGGTAAAGGACAATAAACCAGGTTTGGGGTCAACAACATGCATCATGCAGACACTGGAAAGGGATCTGCAACAGCAAGGAGGCGATTTGATGAGTCCTGTTCTTGGAGCCCCAAAGCATCCCAGGATGCCATGGTGGGCCTGGGTCTCTGCCAGACTGCCGGGGGGGCAGCTACTCACTGGAGGGGTTGTTTCAACCATCTGTAACATGCATGAGGAGGTGATGCTGCCTGCATTTTTGTATAAATAGAAAACGCACAAACAAAGCAGCAGTTTAAGATGAACGAAACAACCACCTCCCTACCCTGGAGCTAAAGACAAATTTTACTGGCTGTAAATCTCATGGGGAAAGGTATTCACTAGCAAGCATCTGTCCTGGCCTCTTCTGTAGCACTGCAGGAAGAGGTATCTTCAGAGGCCAACTTGGAGCACATAACCTAGGCCTTTTCTTTGACCTTCCATCTGAAGAAGGCTACCTCTCTGTCCCAGGCACCCAAACGATAGGGTGACGTTCTGCAGTACAAGCCTATTCCGGTGCATTTCTCTTGAATCAACCTTTTTAACCCTGAATTTATACAGTACACGCAACCTCTCATCTCCATCAGGAGGTGACAAAGATCCAAGTGCTGCACCCTTCTGCATTCATTGATACCTGGATGATAGGGATGGGAGTCACCTGGTCCAACATTATGTGCTTGCATATGTCTGATGTGCCTAAATTTATGTGTCTAGGCACTCTGTGGGCGTCAGTGAAGACCCACCTCGAGGGAGAGTCTCTATCCCATCAGTGGAGTTTAGGATAAAAAATAAATGACCAGAAGTTGATCTACTTTAGGAGAAGACGACTCTCCACTGTCTGTATTTTCTGTATTAAAGAGGTCTGCACTGAGCATAATGGGAAATAAGACACCTACTTCAGAAATAGATGCCTATAGTGTAGACGGCTAAACTGGACCAGTTGAAATCCATCATAAATACTAGTTTGCATAAACTTTTATAAATGTATAAAACTCTGTCTTATATATTTTGTTTGTTTGTTTTGATGATCTTAGGTCTTCCAGGGCAAAAGGGAACAAAGGGAGACCAGGGCCTGCCAGGTAAACCCCTTGTTTGACAGCATGACTTATTCTGATGATGATTAAGCAAAGCCCTTTAAATGCCACGTTCCACTTCCCTGCATCAACATGAAATGCTTGTCACGCTTTTTCCTTGGGAAGGAACAAAGGCGATGACTTTCTTGCTTTCCACCCAGGTATCCCAGGCCTAGCTGGTCAAAAAGGAAGCAAGGGTGATTATGGCGGTCATGGTCCAAAAGGTGAACCGGGAGTAAAAGGAGCCAAGGGAGACCGTGGGTTCTCTGGTAAGGCTGTTTGCCACAGGGTCTGTGGAGCTGATGGTGCATTTGGGTTTGGGACTGTACGTCACAGACTGGCAGAAGCTGCCCTGGGGCATGTTTACAGAGCTCATTTGGAGGAACTCAACAGACAGAATCAGTCTTCCCAGAAGATGAATGTGCAGAGTGTCACATTTACACCTTGGGAGGTGTGTTAAAAGATATGCAAGTAAACAGATGCGTTAGATTTTCTCAAATCCTCGATCTCACAAAAAGCTGGAACAACCCATGTTCCTCTTTGCTTTGTACAGAGACATCTCGCAGCACACCGTGCCACTGGGATAAATCCCACATAAACATGGCAGTCAGGAACACAGAATCGGAAACACCAGGGCTATTCAACTACGCCTCTCTAATTGTAGGACACAAAAATAGACGGTTCAAAAGGGCCAACACTACAGTTACACCTTATCCTTACACCCCTCCCTTCCAATCACAGAATGTTTCCAAAAGCCCTAAGACCTGTAGTAAAAAAAAAACCAAACCAGTAGTTACGACAGGCGACAGGAAGCAACCAGTGCTCCAGATGCTTTTTCTTTTAATTGTTCACACAGAGCAGTATGAGAGTCCTCAGAAATAAAATAAACTAGAGCCTATATGGGGCTCCTCCATGCACTCCTTTTCTGGAGCTCTGCCTCTGGAGGAGGGGAAAAGTGTAACTGGGGTGACCCCAGGTTAGGGACTGCCCTCTGGGTGGGTCTCATCTCTTGGTCCCCAGAAGGAGACAGCAATGTGTGCTTTGTAGAGGTAGCTTTTGGGGGAAGAGCTCACCGGGTTTTTTCAAACACCCCTGCTCTCAAGACCAGGATGCCCCACAGAAATGTGGAGGACTCTTGGGAGTGGCTTTCTGCTGTCCTGTGGCAGTACCTGGAGAGCAAACCCCATGATGTAGATCTTCCTGCAAGTACTTTTGAAGATACCATGCCTGCTTCTGGAGAGCCCAAATGTTATCAAAGATGTCATTTTACAGGTAGTAGTGGGAATAAGATACACTTCCCACAACTGAGTGGATGGGATTTTGCAAGTGGCCCTTTTCTTGGGTCACACGTTAGGAAGACTTTGCTGTATGTTATCCTACTTTTCTTGCCACATTTCTTTTACATACCCTTAGCCACTTCAGAGGGTCCATTCCACAAGGGGATGGAGCCCTCATATCTCTGACTCACCCAGTTATTCAGAAAAAGTTAATAACTGGATTTTCTTCCAAACAGCTGTCAAATATTTGCTTTTTAAATTTGGAACAGGTTCCCCAGGAGCGAAAGGGAGCAAAGGTGAAAAGGGACAAGGTACCGGACTTTTATTTCTTCTTCTCTCACTTGGCTTCTGGGAACAAAGCTATCTGAGATCAGGACCAATGTGCCCCCTGTGCACACTGGTTAATCCGCAGCACGGCTACCAGAACTGAGGGGTCCATGTGCTGAGCTGCAGCCAAGTGTCTCCAGACCCAGGAGAGGACCCTGAATTGTTTAGATTTGAGCTACCAGTAACTTCTGGTCCCACTCTGGCTACAGGCATGGAGATGGGAACATTTGTCCAGTTTGGGTGGTCTCTCCTTCCATCTTTCAATGTGCTTTTTTCCTCATGCCCGTATGACCAGTAGAGTTATTTTCTTCTCCTCTGAACTGTCAGGCAACTTCCATCATTATATACGAATCGCGGAAGGGGGCAGGAGGGGCCGTGTGGAAGTCTTTCACGAAGGGTCCTGGGGAACAATATGTGACGATGGCTGGAGCACCCAAGATGCCACTGTGGTCTGTCGAATGCTGGGATACAACCGTGCGATCTCTGCCTTCACAGCAACAGCAGGTGAGTCCACAACAGCCTTCCACCTCGCTAGGCCTGGCACGGGAGATTATGCACTCCCAGAAAGCACCACAGCAAGGTCCTCTACACAAGCAGCAAGAGAGTAAAGAGGATCTCCCCAAAAAAGCAGCTTGTTCCCCTTGGGATGAGGGAGCTGCACGTCAAGTGCTGCTTGAACTGTGCCCAAAGGCTTGATTTCCAACAAGCCAGCCGTGCAACCCAATGCACGCCTGCTATCCACAGAGGTCTCTTTAGAAAAAATTGCATATTCCTCTTTCTTTTGTCCAACGGTTTTCTGTTTGTTTGTTTGTTTGTTTGTTTGTTTAATTCGTCTTCCAAAGGCACTGGACAAATTTGGCTTGATGACGTGAATTGCAGCGGGCATGAAAGTTCAATTTTCGACTGTCCAAAGCCTGCCTGGGGTGTGAACAACTGCTCCCACAACGAGGACGCTGGGCTGGAGTGTGTTTGATGGGACACAGAGGCTGCCCTGGGAGCTGCTGCCCCCCTCCGCTCTCTACGGGGCTCTTGTTCATAATGCAAACCCAATTTTGTCAGGCTGTGCTTATAGTCTTTTTACCAGGTCATAAAAATACTGACAGAGAAAGTTGAATTTTCCATAAATCGATAGCGGTTGCAAGACTCACAGGTAACCTGAAACATCTCAGCTGCCATGAAACAACCAACCGGAGCTCAGGCACGTGAACCAGTTTACAGCTTTTCCAGCTACCTGACATCAGCTCATCTGCAGTAGCTCACACGTGTGTGACCTCTAAGTCCACAGGGGAGGAGAGTTGGTCCACTTCAGCTTAGTGCAGTAAGAGAGAACAGGATAAGCGTGCAGAAACGGGCAGTTACTGCAGCTGAGCTGGCTCGTCCATCTTCATCACAGTACAGTTGTGAATCTGAGCCTAAAACCCCCAGTGAAGTGCATACACCCAAGACAGGAGATGCTCAGAAATCATCAGATGATCTCTCTGGCATTCAAATGTAAATGTTCCCCAGAAACGATGCTGATCACAGGTTAAAGTGCAAAAATAAGTGCCCGGGACCTAGGTGCCGCACTATCCTGGTTTAGCACAGACCTTGTTTTTGACCTTGGCCAAGTCCCCTGCCTTCTCTCTCAGTGTTTCCTAACCTGTCCCCGGGAGCAACACCCCTTACCTGGTGTATAAAGCTAAGCTTTTCATACCTTTAGAAATTAGATGCTCCAGTAAATTAAAGGGACAACGAATAAAAGCAATAATGGGGAAGTACCAGCTAATTAAACTTCCAGAGTGAAAATGCGGACCATAAACCAAAGGCTTCTACCTTAACTGAAAATCTTATATGTGTCTGAGATAATAACTGAAAGGCTTCTCTTCCTTAAGACCTAAGTCTTCCCCTTTTCCACCAGCACTGGGCATTCAGCAGGTGACAAGCAGCCTGTCTACATGTAGCTGGGCACATCGCAACAACCTGCTTGCGGACATTTTATTTAAAATGTCAGAAATACATGTAAGTGACCCCACATCTCTGCCTTAATGTGAGTCATAATTGTATTTGTCTACACAGCTTTGAAACTTGGTTTTAGTGCTTAGAAATCCAGCTATAAGTGGAAAAACTGAGCAGTGTTGGCAAGAGCAGCAAGCGATGGGGCATCCAGGGCCAATGTGAGTGAGAAGACCCAGCAGTGTGCAGGGTCTGATAGTGCAGTCTGCAACAAAGCTCATCGCTGTTTTGGACCAGAGGAAATGTTTGTTACAGGGTCTCAGGCCTCAGGCAAGAAGTCTGGAAAATCCCAAGAGTTTTCCAGTGTCCACTCTGATGCCTTTGACAGCAGGAAAATGAAGAGAGACACTTACCATTCCTGACACTGAGCCTGCACGGGTTTCCTTCTTTTTTTTTTTTTTTTGTTGCAGTATGTAAATAAAGCATTCCCACTGTTAAGAAATAAAGGATTTAAAAGTCATATTCATGTCTTGATACAGCAACAGGTGCCGCTTACACTCTCATTTTCTCACTTTCCTTGCTAACGGAGTATGTT